ATGCTAGGCGAGCGCTCCACCCCTGAGCCCCAGCCCAGCCCTCATTCACTTGTACACCCTCTCCCACATCTCTGTCTCTGTTGGTGCATGCGTCACAGTCAGTCGCATGTGACAGTGGGGCTTGGGGCTACACATCTGTACAGGCACACAGTGTGACAATGCAGTTGGCCGATGCTGCTCCCCGCACTGCCCCTCCATCCCCCGTCCCACCCCTCAGTCCCTTTCCTCTAATGACTGCCCTTTGACCTTTAGGAGGTCCTTTCCCCTCTGTAGCTTCTGCATGTGAGAGAGAGCACAGGACCCTTGACCTTCTGCATTTACATGACGGTCTCTAGTTCCCCCCATTTTCCCTTCTTCTTTGTGACTGAACAAGTCTCCGCTGTATGTACCCATCAGATCTTCTGTATCACTTCATCCACGCTTGGACACCTGGGCTGGATCCATAGTGTGGCTACTGTGGGCTGTGCTGCTGTGAACACGGGTGTGTAAGGTGACTTTGAACCTTCAGGATAGACACCACAGGGTGGCTCCGAGCCTGGTCTTTGAGGAGCTCCATGCTGATTTCCGCACTGACTCACAGTCCCACCACAGTGTGGACGTGTCCCTCTTCCTCCACACCCTCTCCAGCACTGGTCATCCATGTTCTTGATGCCTGCCCTCCTGCCTGCTGTGAGCTGAGATTGCAGTGTAGTTCTGATCTGCACTCCCCTGATTTTAACAGCCTTGGACATTTTTGTGTATGTGTTGGCCATTTAGATTCTTCTTTTGAGAAGTGTCTGCCTGGTTCACTTGCCCATTGATTAATTGGGTTATTGAGTTTTTGGTTTCTTGGGTTCTTTAGATATTCTCCCCTTCTGTGGTTCTCTCTGCACATTCCTGACTGCTTCCTTTGCTGTGCGGCAGATCTTCTATTTTAAAATAATGGAGAGTCGTGGGAAGTTTGCAAGGACAGCACAGAATGATCCTGTGTCCCCTTACCCACCTCCCCTGATGGCTCCATTTTACAGAATTGAAACACAACACAAAGACCAGGAGTCTCGCTCACATTGGCATGAAGCGTGTGTATGGCTCTGGGTCCATCTGTCACGGGGAGATTCACGTGGCCACCACTGACCTCACGTGCAGGACTCCTTGTCCCCCACAAGGCCTCCCCTCTGCCACCCCGACTTAGTCAGCCAAAGACCTGACCAGAATGTGTGGAGGAGGAAGAGTGTGTTTGGCTCTGGGTTTCAGAGGCCTCAGTTCATAGATGGC